CATGTCAAATGTTTTGTGATTAAGCATTTCTTAGTACCAAAAAATATGGTGGTTTGATGACGTTTGCCGGTAAGCAGACGATCGCGTTGTAGTTCGACGGTTAGTCCCCACTTTTTATGCTGGCTAAAACAGGGGGCCTGACAGCAGCTCGACTGCTCGGGCAGAATTGAGCAGCAAGTACGACTATTCAACCGAGCGGAATGTATTTTCGATAATCTTTTGTGAGTAAAATTAAGCTTCTGACAGCCTCCTACATGGTATCTGACACGTTTTGGGTGCAAAAAGGCTGGCGCAAGAGGACCCTTACAACTGTTTGGATGACGCAGAGTGGACCGGGAGCACGACCGAAGCCAAGCTTAATGCACATAGCCTCCAGAGCGTTTCCGCTCCCCCCGAGCTTCTGCTGCTTGAGCAGAATTTCCATCTACAACCCCATCGGTTCTGCCCAGCCCGCTCCCCCATGTCACAACGTCATTGAGTGTGTAGGGATTAATTGACCAAAGTGTTGCTGAGCAGCACGAAACCTCAGCTGAGCCACAGCCGTCTCTCTCGCCTATCGGGCGTTTTCCGCGCGTCTCGCCACCGCAGCAATTCCATCGGGGTCTCCCGTCGTTCCTCGGAGGTACCTATACGACGGGAATCTGGCATTCAGGCGCAGTGGATACCAGCTTACCTCTTGCGTGCTGTTCATCTAGCGAAGCGACCTTAGTGGCGGGTGATACTCCGACAGCCTTATTTTGCATTAGCGAGGTATAGCTATAAGAATCACGAGATGACTGCGATACCAGACGTTGAAGGCCTCTCAGAATGTATCAGCCGAGCTATACAAGAGCACCTCGCCAAGTCCAACATCAATGTTGCGTGGCCACAGCTGGATAGTCTTAATCACCCTATCCTTCGCGTTGAGGCTTTCCTCGAGGAAGCTGGCAACGACAATGGAGTAAGAGCGCGATCCGAGAGAATAGCATCGGTATGTTGGACCATCTACTACTATCGCAGCTTTCACGTGAAGTGGCGCATTCTAATACACATGCAGCAAACAGTAGATTTAACGGGCATGAGAACCCCTGCCCCGACACAAAGTCCGGCAATAGATGATCGAGAGTGTGATGAAACCTCGCCGACCGATGAACCTCGTTTTCAGGAAAGCCCTTACCCATCGAGGGAGGAGGAGCAGCAGCAGCAGGAAAACCGCAGGAAAGGTACTGGCGGGTTAAGAGTATCTCAAAAGCAGTCTTCATTTCAGGAAGATCTTAGCGAACATCAGCGGCAAATGCAGATTGATAGCCGAAGCTTTCCGAAAAGAAAAAAAGTACGTGCATGTTACCAAAGCTCGATATTTGCGGGCCCTTCTCGAATAGAAGGCCTGCTGTTGATCGCCTGATTCAAACTTGTCAGGTGACTATTCAGTGTTACCAGCAAAGCCACCTGCAGATCAAAACATACTGACAATTCAAGGTCGCCTCGGATAAATTCGTCTTCAAACCTTCTACTCTAGACAAACTCATCATTGGTATTTGGGAGCAGGTTCATGGCTCTATCAATCTGGATCCGAAAGCGATATTTGAACAGTTTCAAGTTGCACCTAATGGGTCATCAATGGACATTGTTCGACACGCGCAATCAGACGCCACACCTGCCACGATGACGGTGCTCAATAGCGCAGCGAGCACAGTGTGTAACTCTTTCAGTCAAATGAACACATTTTGTCGCAAAGTTACACAAGCAAGCCGCGTATGCCGGTCGATTGAGATGATTGTACAAGCCCGGTGGACTGAGCTTTTTGAAGAGCAGGTGCAATACCGTAGTCAAACGAGGCCAGAGCTGTCGACGACAAAACATAGAAAGGCCGTTTTCATGGAGGCATGCCAAGATTTTGCCTGGTCCGAGTAAGTGCAAGATGTTGCTGTGGTGAAAGGCTTTGATGACGATTGCTGACAATGCTGCTGTAGAAAGGAATTGCGAAACAAGATGGCAATCTGGAGAGGCTACAAAGAAGTGAAAGATGCCGCAGGCTGGGCCGCACTTGTGTTTGCCGGTATGGGCATCTACCGTTTCTGCAAGTACCGCGTCGGATTCGACAATGACGCTATGCGACGCCTTAGAAACCTGCGAAAGCGACTGGAAGTAGCAGCCGATACTCTTCATCCTCATTGGCGGCAATTGCTGGCAATTGTGGGGGAGTCAGCAACCCTTCAATACCCCGGACATCCACACGAATGGGTCGTGTTTGAGGACGGGTCTGATCCGATACCTTTACGTCAGACATATTTGACCCAAGACCCGTACTTTTCATTCGAACAAATTGACGAATCCGTAATCGATGAATCGGTCTGGGGATGCGAGGACCCAAGGTGGACGCCGCAAACGAACGTCATCGCAAGACCAGGCGGTGCGTATGTCTGCGCACTGTGTAACGAGCACCAATCGGATGATCCGAAGGAAAACACTTGTTTCTGCTTCCCATTGCTGTTTGGCTGTGTAAAACGCAAGCCGCCGCCCGTTCAGGTATACCGCACTCCGGATGGCAAGAACAATGGGCTAGTCGCTTTAACATCTTTCGATCGCGGTACCGGCATCGGCGAACTTGTTGGCCTAATCACAAAGGGCATGAGGCATCTTGACGTGATGGATAGCTCAACGCAATCAACTAGCTACCAAATCTGGCAAGGAAGAGTGGGAAACTATACGCGCTTCATCAACCATAGCTGCAAGCCTAATGCGCAGTGCTCGACATTTACCTGGCTGGATACCCAAAGGGTGGTACTTGTCAGTAAAGGAATTGAAGCTGGTTCAGAAATCACACTGGACTATGGCGACAAGTACTGGGCTGGGTTGGACAAATCCTGCCTATGTGGAGAGAGTTGCTGCAGGTATAGGAGAGATGGCAAATGATTCGCCAATGGGTTGTAGATGGACTGAACTGAAGCTGTCGTGATCCTGAGCTGGGCGTGATGCGGATGCATATCTGGGCGTATACACATATTCTTTCACTTAGATTCTTGTTCAAAGTTTATTCGCGGAATTCGCGACCTCCGGTCAAAAAGCACATCTTGAATCATGCAGCGATGTGATAGTACGATTCACAATGGTTGGTCCCAGTCCAGCTTCACGTGGCGTTATCGATAAGATTAGCGTGCGGTATCCCTGCACAAAATCTCAGAAGCCAAGTCGAAGATTGGCCTTCTGAAAACAACCAACAACCACAATATGACGACTAGCGACTACAGCGATTCCGGTGCGTCCGATCAAGAGATATTGGAGGCCCAGTCTGGGGCGAGGAAAAGGAGGAGACTCTCGCCTGCCGATTGCACTGAAAGTTCTGCTTCAGAGACTGAAGCTCAACCCGCCCCGAAGCCACTCCAAGTAGCATCAGCAACCATTTCGCGCGTCAAAGCAAGGACCAATGGCGCGCAAAGTAACAACACGCCTTCTCAAGCTGCCAATGTTCCTGCGGTGAACCAAAAGCTCAGTTTTGCTTCACTCAATGTAGCGCCATGGCTCGTTGCCTCTCTCGCCAGCATGGCGATCAAGCGACCAACAGGTATTCAAGCATCTTGTATCCCCGAGATCTTGAAAGGAAAAGACTGTATAGGAGGCTCAAGAACCGGTACTGGTAAAACTATCGCGTTTTCAGTGCCCATTCTGCAAAAATGGGCAGAGGATCCAAGCGGAATCTTTGCAGTCATCATCACGTGAGTTTCACCTTGTCATGTTGTGATGCGACAAGAGTGGCATCAAACAAATCAGCTAAACATTATGCTAACGGCCATGTAGACCCACACGCGAACTTGCGATCCAGATCTATGAGCAAGTCAAAGCCATCTCGGCCCCTCAGTCCATGAAACCAATCTTGATTACAGGAGGTTCAGACCAACGCGCTCAAGCTATTGAACTTGCCTCGCGACCCCACGTTGTGATCGCAACACCAGGTCGACTTGCAGAACACATCCGAACCTCTGGTGAAGATACCATCTGCGGTTTGCGGCGCGTGCGATTCGTTGTCTTTGATGAAGCCGATCGTCTGCTTGCTCCAGGAAAGGGCTCCATGCTACCCGATCTCGAAACATGCTTATCAGTGCTTCCGCCCAAAGAAACCCGACAAACGCTCTTGTTCACTGCAACTGTAACACCAGAAGTTCTAGCTCTCAAAGACCAACCGCGCGCTCCGGGCCGACTACCAATTTTCGTCTCAGAAGTAGATACAGAGGATCTGGCGATTCCCCCGCGTCTCCAGCAACGGTACCTGCAAACGCCTGTCACACACAAGGAATGCTACCTCCATGTACTTCTTAACACGCCAGTCAACAGCACAAAAAGCGTCATCATCTTCTGTAATCGGACTAAGACTGCTACCTTGCTTGAGTACATGCTTCGCCTGCTTGACCACCGCGTCACGGCCCTTCACTCGGGTCTCAAGCAATCCGATCGTGTGAACAATTTAGCACGATTCCGTGCTCAGGCAGCTCGTATCCTGGTAGCCACCGACGTTGCTGCCCGTGGTCTCGATATCCCAGAAGTAGCGCTTGTCATCAATTTTGACGTGCCACGTGATCCGGACGACTACATCCATCGTGTTGGTCGTACGGCGCGTGCGGGACGTGTAGGTACGGCTATTACGTTGATTGGACAAAGAGATGTGGAACTTGTGCTGGCGATTGAAGCGCGGGTGGGCAAGAAGATGGAAGAGTTTGAAGAGGAGGGTGTAAGTGTCGAGGGCAGAGTTGTTAGGGATGCATTGAAGCCGGTGACGGAGAAGAAGAGGGAGGCCATGTTGAGTATTGAAGAGGGGAGGGATGTGCTGGGAAAGAGAAAGGTGGGTATGCAGAAGAGGAGGGCTGAGTGATTCGGTTGTAAAATTTCTTGTGATTTCATTTAATCAAATACCGCTTTCTGTGCTTTCCAGGGTGCATACATGAGAAGAAGAGAATACTAAACTTAAACACAAACAACTTATCCCAAATATAAAAACTCCTACCATATATCCATATCCTTCGCACTTACTTCTCCGCCGTCGCATCAAACGCCTCCTGCCTCCCCCTATTATTCTCAACCACCCTCCACCTCTCAATATACTCTTCCACCTCCTCACATCCATTCTCCTTACCAGGCACCGGCTCCCCCCACGACCCCCAATACGGCACAACCCCCGTCCACGTCTTCTTCACCAACTCCGCATTCTTCAAATCCGCACGATCTTCACTCGGTCCGCCTGTTCTAATCTTCGCCGAAGCCTAATACCACCATCAGCATTGCCATTTCACATCCCTATTAAAGGGGGAGGAAAAAAAAAAGGAAAGAACCCCCCCGAGAAGAAGATAAGAGAAAGGAAAACAACTTACAGAAACAACCCTCACCCTAATCACCCCCGTACTCTTCACCTCGGTCTTGGTCGGCGGCACCCGACTCCCCTCCCACCTCCCGGGTAGCATATTCTCCGTAATCTCGCGCATAGCCCACAAAGCTTCCTGCTCATCTTCCACCAGACTCGCATACCCATACACGACCGCCGACCGATAATTACACGAATTGTGGAACGGGGTCAGACTGAGGACTAGGCCGTCGAGATTTGATGCTGCAATGGTGATAGGGAGGCCCGGATTTTCTTCTTCTTCCGAGCTTTCTGCTTGCTGCTGCTGTGAGGGCGAGGCAGAGGATTTGAAGAGGCGGCTGGAAATGTAGCCGTGAAGGTAGATATTTTGGCTGGCGGGGTCGTTGGGGGTGTTTGAGAAGTTTCCTGTGCAGCCGAGCATGGGGAGGATGACGGGGAAGGGGTGGGCTGGGTCGGTGAAGGAGACGTGGAGGATGGGCGTGCGGTTTATGAGGTTGTGGATGGTTTCGTAGTCGTATGTGCCTGGAAGAATTTTTTATATATCGGTGACTTTTTGAATTTGGGGGAAGTGGAGGGGATGAAGGGGAAGGGGCTAACCTCTGTTTGGTAGACGACCAAGTTTGTTTACGGCTGTTTTGGGGTAGGAGGGAGAAGTCATGGTTGGGGTTGGTGTTTTTGGTTGGTATTTTTGGTCTTGTGGTTCTTTTTCTTTCACTCTTTGATCGTGTAATATAGTTATTGCAGAAAGACCTAGACAAGCTCTACGATGCAGAAACAACCTCCCTTTTGTGTATTTGATATTCAAAGTTTGTGGTTCCTCAAACTCTTTTTATACACATTAGGCGTACAGTGACTCTTTCTGGTACATGCGGGAAAAGCGGGGCAGTGGACTAATTCTAATACTTCTCTTATTGGCTATGACAACATGCAAACATATGTCATATCGCGTGTACAGCGTGTATGTATGTATGACTGGTAGCATTCAAGGCCAGTGTTGGGTAATGAAGGGTACTCGAGGCTACCCAAGGACTCGTTGTATGCAAGTCCCTTTCGACATAAAAGTAAACTAGTAGTTTGTTGTACGTCGTAAGTTATATGTAAATTGCAGGTGGTATTTGCCATGTTTCCCTTTTCCTTCGGATCCAACCCAGGAAATGAATAAAGAAATGATAAGCCTCGGGGGGCCATGATGCCATGACAGCATGATCTCCCTCCCGTTCCTGAGATTTCCAACAGACTCCAAAACTCCCAAGGCAATGCAAAATATAGGGATGATACCATTTGAAAGCACACCCTCGCTTGCGCCAAACAAATCCTTCCACCTTGTCTAGCACTCCGTACCCAAGCATTTGCCCTCACTACCTGAATCCCCACGCACTCCTCAACCCACCCTTCACACTATCCAATTTCAAACACTGATACGGGCTACTCTGTGGATCATAATACAATCCTTCCAATTTCCCACTCGTCCGATCCAGAGCAACGTAGTAGAACCCGCTTATGGTAAGACCGCAACCTGAGTCGTCAAAGGTAGCGTGTTCGGTATCATTGATAGGTGAAGGGTTGAAGAGAGGCTGGGGGGTAATTTCGACCTCGGCGCGGCCAGTTCGTTCATTGCGCACAATGCGGTAGGGAGAAGGCTGGATTTGAGATATGTGGGTAGTGGTAGCCCACGAGTTGGATGCTGAGCCATCCGAGAAGGAAGGTGTGGTTGTAGAAGGGGGTGGTACTACGGGATTCTGTGTGCTGCGGTTCAGACTTTTGACAAAACAACGTTCCTTCCAGCGCATCAGTATCCATTCCTGGCTCAGAACCTCGGCAAGCCATTTCTTGCTCGTCAATGCCCTGATGACGTCTTCGTCGCTCATCTTTTGGAAAGGCGGCAGCTTGCGCCAGTAGGTTGCGTCATTTGCGGCACTAGATTTGAACGATTCGGTAAGGAGGGTATGGTTGTTAAAGTCGAGTATTTCGCCTTCGAGGTATGTGGTGATGGAGGACGTGCGCGTGACGGGTGGCGCACTACCGTTGGTGGGGAGTATGGAGTGCGAATGCGGGTGCGAGGGCACGTTGTACGCCTCCATGGTTGCAGAGAGGGACATGGCCTCCCAATCGACGTCGTGTATTGTGACTTTGACAGGCCATTGATCTTGTTGGGGCTGTGTTTCGGATGAGTGTGAGCTGCGGCTCGTAGACGCTTCGGAGGGAGTCCATATCCACGGGCGGATAGGCGGGGGGAGCCCAGAGTGCCGCGATGTGACGGAGACACTAGGGGGCATAGTGGTTGCATGTTGGCAGCCAGACAGGACGGCGCCGGGGACCAGCCATGACGTCTCGGTCGGACGTGGTATTGTGAAGGTATCAGCAACAAAGTCGGCGTGCTGCAGGCAAAAATAGTCCTTTGTCAGGAAGCCGGCATCTCGGGCATATTCCAGACTCTCATCGGGGTTGCTTGAGTGGCGTATCCGTGACAGGTACTTGACCGTTTGCTCGAGCATGGGCGACGAGCGGCCGTCTGATAGTCGCTGCATGGACATGTGGCGGGCGGTGGCTTCGCGGTGTCGCTCGACTGAGTCGCTGTGCAGGCTGGCTCTGGCGGCAAGCATCTCCCTGAGGGTACGGTGCGAGGTATGGCGTGATGGAGCCTCTGTGGAAGCGGCTTCCCTGGTGCGGGCAGAGAAGCGTGGGTGTCTGCGCACGCCAGCCGACTGCAGAATGGCCGTGGAGCGGAGGGAGCTCTCGGTGGCGGTGGCCTCATTTGCAGGCGACCAGTCGTACAGGCTGTTCTGGCTGGGGACGCGGTCGCCATAGTTGTTGTCGCTCAACCGGCTGAGGCGACTCATCACTCGCCGCAGCCTGTCCCGCTGCTCCAGCTCGTCTCGTTGTCGCTCCAGCAGGCGCAGGCGCTCGCGGGACCGTTCGAGGCGCACCTGGTCGTGCTCGTGGGCGACGCGCAGATAGTGCAGGTGGGCGCGTTCCAGGGCGTCGGCGTCGTGGATGGGATTGGCGTTGTCGTGATGGTTGTCGCTGGTGTCGTCACCGTCGATGTCAGCGTCGTCGCCAGGCTGGGTACCCAGTGTTGCAGCAAGATTAAGGACGTCGTCGTTGACGGGGCTCTCGAGGTCGCGCAGGGCCGAGATGAAGGTGGGTTCGGGGTCCTATATAGTGGGTGTTCCGTCAGTCAGTCCGTCACCCACGCTCGTGTCGTGATGTGCAGTGTCGGTCACATCGGCCGTGTCGCGGACACACAGGCATGCTTACAGGCGAATTGGCGGGCGGCATTATGACGAAGCGGGCACGGCGGGCATTGCGCGACGGGGCTATGGAATGCAGACACGACGTTTCGACATCAAGAGAGGCGTGGCCCCGGCGGAACTCGTGTGTCCCAAGACGAGACCACGGCCGTCAGACACCAGGCTAGAGGCATGCTGGCTGCGACGGGTCGCAAAAGCAATCATCGCCTTGCTCTCGGCCTCATCGCGACCGCGGCACCACTCCCGCCCGATAACCTACCGTCTGGCACCACTCATCGGCCCAAATCCTCCATTGCGGCACAGCCATGATCCTGGGGCCGTTAACCCGAAGCCCTGGTCACGACATGATCGGCAATCCTCGCCTCTTGACTCTCTCTTTCAACTTCACTTGCTGCTCTAAGCACATGTCATGGGCAAAACTTTGTAGTATCTGAAGAATCTTTTTTTGTATTGGATTTCAAGGTTCGTTTTTTTGCAATTAGGTAAAGAAGGCGAAGTGAGAAGCTTGCTTCTGTCCAGCATCTGTTTCACACCTGCCCAGATCAACCAGGCAGCGTGCTTTCTCCAAAGACTGGCCTTGGAGTGTAGGAGATGAACCCCACAAGTCTCTGTACATCCAGGTTCCCGTGTCGGTCAAGATCAGCAAAAGTGCAAAGGGCACATCAGAAAGCGTTTGCTCCGCAAGCAGAGGACCACTTCCCTAGAGTCAGTGACGCCACAGACGTACTCCTGTCTCGGCCCCTGCCCAACTGCTTCCCCCTTTCCGACTCAGTTCCCCTTCAGCAAACAAAGACGAGCTATTACAGCGGCATCGCAGATGCATGTATAACTTTTGTCGTCGCCCCTCGGCATGTCCAGCTGACACTCAATGTCAGTCCAAGTAGGCAGGTTCGTGAACGTTGATCGCGTCAAATTCGTAAGAGTCATGGCATGCCACTGGCTCAACGAAGAGATGGCGCGCCCGTCCAGGAGGAAAACGACATTAAAAACAAGAAAACAAAAAAACAATGCGAGTGTGCCTGACCTCGTGAGCCGTGAGGCTGTGTTTACCGTCTTCCGTTAAAATGCCCGACATGCATACCTCCCAGAGATGCTGTATTCAGTAAAGAAAAGACCTGGTCCGGCCGTGTTGTGCAATGAAGAAACAAAAGAGAAATCGCTCGCTAAAAAAAAAGGAGAAAAGCACTCGACAAATCAAGAAAATCAGGTATCAAAAGAGAACATGTACGAGAAGAGAGGAGAAAATGACGCTCGCTAAAAATCGATGAAAAACGCCGTCCCATGCTGGTTTGGTAATGATGTCTGCTTGTTCAGCATCATGTCGTGAATATCGCTTTCGTCTCGTGTCGGGTGTCGCAAGGTTGGTGCGCTGGCAACCAGCGTATGAGGGGAACATCTGGGGGGGGACTGGCCAGGTCCGCGGTTCCCGTCATCGACAGAGATCAGATATATGTACCACAGCATAAGCGCCTTCCAACTTATGTGAAGGCTGCGTACTGTGGTGCAAATCCAGTATCCCATCCAAAACCACCGAATCCTCCGTGGACGGCGCTTGACCCGCATTGCTGGGCCAAGACGCTCGGCAGAGGAAGGGCTGGGATTGGTGCCGATGCCGGGGGCGGGCTGTAATACGAACTCGAAGTGTACGGGCTGGTGCTTGGCGCATATGGGCTGGTACTTTGTGCGTAGGGGCTCGTCGAGTTGTATGGCTGGCTGAAGGAAGGAGTTGGCGAAGGAAGCTGAATGGCCTCGAAGCCCATGGTTCCCATGGTGCTCCAGAACGAAGGTCCAGTTTCACCGCAGGTAGCAATGGTAGGGCTGGGGGTCGAAGGAACCACCCTCCAGGCATCGACTGGGGCAGAGTGCGACGGGTGCATCTGTTGTGTTGGCACCCACCAGTTGGCTGAGGCAGTCGAGCTTGGGAGGAGGGGTGCTGGTCGGACGACATCGACGATCCTGGGAGGAGGGGGAAGAAGGGGGAGGAACAATCCCATGATGGCGCTCTTGACGTCCTCACCTCGTCCCTCGAGTAGTTCTCCCGCGCCTTCTTCCTCCAGACCTTCCAGAGCCTTGACACCAGTGCGGAATACGTAGCGGTTTACGGCCTGGACAAATCCATCCTGAAGTTTCTTCAACTGCTGCTCCTTCTCAGCCCACTCCCAGGTGCTGGCGGAGACATCAACCGAGTAGATGTCCTTGTGGTACTCAATAAGCGCATCGATGGTCTCCTGTGTAAGCTTGAATGCAACCTCATGTTGTGAAACCATGTCGACGTGTACGACATAGGCCTCGATGTGGATGATTTGGTAGTTGAACAGGGCCTCGACGAGCGGGTTCGAGTCCTTGCGCAGTTCCGAGTCGGGAGCCTTTGGTACCATGATGGAGCAAAGCGACCAGATGGCATTTGGGCCGGATAGTGTCTCGGTCAGGCAGCGCGTGTGTTGTTGTACGCTGTTCAACGGCCGCTTGACCCGGTTGACTCTCTTCAAGGTTTGTGTTAACCATGGCTCGGCTTTTGAGGCCAAAACAACGTTGACGTTGGAACGGGGCGCAAAGGCCGCAGCCGAAGCGGGTAGTAACGAGATCGGCATAGTGGCCTTGGGTATGTGTGTTTCAGGGTGGTAGGTGCGAGACGGATTGCGATATTAGATGGGACGGATTCAAACGATTTAAAGGAAAGAAACAAAAGAGATTGTAAAGGTAAAAAAAAATGTCTCTGGGCGGATGTGGTGATTGCTGAGGCGCCTTTGATTGAGATGGAGAGACAGGGAAGGGCGGGCGAATGAGGAGGGGGGAAGGCGAGGTGGGAGGCGGAGGGTGAAGAAAGGCTAGTGGTGGTGGTGGGTGCCATCTCTTAAGAGCTTACAAGCGACGATCATGGGCCGCTCGGCGTGGCCACACACTCGGCAAGGATTTCATGCACACTGCCCCGTTTGCCTGCGCAGCGCATTTTAGCTTGTCTAAACGTGCATATGGCGAAAATATGCAGGCTGCAGGTTTAGTCGGATCTAAGCTGACCGACGGGCACGGCGAAAGCGTTGTGCACACGTGGATAGGCGTGAGCGAAGATTGCGACGGGCTGCTCATGGCGGGCACAATGTGCAAATGACGATTTGGACATGCATGGCCGGAGATGAGAAGCAACGAGGCGCTTGATCAGCCTCTCGAGTGGAAGTAGCAAAGTTAGTGTACGAGTATGGCCGAGAGCATTACTGGCTCGTTGACCATGGCAGCTGAAGCCATGTACATACGCAGCAAGCAGGCAGAGCCATGGCTCGACGAGACGCACAAGAGCACACGGGGGCCGGCCGGCCGTAACAGGCGGCCGTGAAGGACAGCAGCAGCACCTAGACGGGGTGGACTAGACGCCGTTGGCGGAGCTGGCGAAGGGGAAAAAAGTGAAGCCTGCGACTGAGCTTACTGTCGAGCATGTGGTGTTGCAACATGACACGGATTCCAGAAGCTTTCCCTGGGCGTCCAGATGGAGAGGGGACCGCAGCGGCTTTGATACCCTTTTCGGGGGGGCCGGGGGGTGCAAGGGATGGGTGAAGGCTTTCTGCGCTTGTCAAGGGGTGTGTTGCTGGCAGAGTCTTGCGAGTGGGTGTAGTCGAGGTAGTCTTGGGCAGTCTACAGGTTGACGTTGCTTGAGCCTAAAAATGGGCTGCAAACACTCGGTCCAATCAGCGGGTCGGACAGGGGGGAGGGCAGGGTTGGTCTACCGAGAAACCCGCGATCATGTGCACCGGCTCTTGCAGACACGGCCCAGAAGCTTAGCAGAGCAGAGAGTAGCATTGTCGAGTAGCTCCGGCGGCTGCTGAAGCAGGAAGAGGCTGCATGCCATCTTGGGCCGTGGGCAGCCATGGCACGACCCGAAGCACCTCATGACGCTGGCACTGACGATGCTTCTGCTGTCGGTGATGCTGCTGCTGGCAATGCGGTGATGCGGTGCGCCACTTCACTCATGTGGCCGGAGCACATGATGCGCTGTTGCGGCGGTGCAGGCAGGGCAGGCGGTGCAAGGCGGTGACGGTCGACTGCTGGCGGCACCGCCGACGCTCTCGCACATGTCCGAAGTACCCTACGTACTACTGTGTGGGATTTACAGTAGAGAGTACGGTGCACACGGGACGGTACCCTTCTCCACAGTATCTATTTTTTTGCTTGCAAAAAAAAAACTGGCAATGCTGGCTATAATTCGCCCTGTCCGAGCAGCCGGCCCATGTACTAGATAGATACTACCGTCCGCCCAAAAGAAAAGCTTCGCCTCTCTGCGGAGCAGAGCATGCAGGGCCCAGGAGATGGGTTTCGTCACTGAACGCCCGCAACGTCCTCGTCGGCGCGATTGGAGAGCGAGGACGATCAAGTGAAGCATGGTGAAGAGCATTACGCAAGTGCCCGGCATGTCCGATATGGACCAGTGATGGTCCTAGTCGTCGTCTCAGTCCCAGCGCGACGGTCTTATCGATAGCACCCAGCCTACCGTACATGTCCCATGTTTCAGACATGTCGACTGCGCCTCCCACGCAAACGAATATCCGGGGGGCAAAACCCACAGGGCGACCGGCGTTGCGGCCTACCCCACATAGACAATGGTGTTTTGCTGTAGCATGCGCATACAGTATGCCTCTCTCGGCGTAGAGTGCTCTCTAGTCGCAACGGCAATGTTCCGACCGTCTGACTCTCCATAGACACCCGACGCTCATGCTCACGCATTTTCAGCTCGACAGGGTTCTGTCAAGCTAGCCGCCCCACTGAGCCGACCACAACCGGCTTTCTCCTTCCGAGCCCCCACGACTCATCCACTGCCTGTCCCTCGTCCCTCATCCCTCACCCAGGCCCTGTCCTCGCGCCCACCTACGCACAACATGACGCTCACGATGCAGATTCCTCATGTCCTATGACTGTTCATGCAAACATTTCCTCCACCCGCCTGCGTTTTGCTACTTACACGCTGGCAGGGCACCGCCCGCACATCATCCATGGCTCCATCCATGCAGCTATCGTGACAGAGCCCGATGACTCACTCATGGCAAGCAAACCTGCACTTGCAACAAGAAAAAAATTTAGCCCGTCTTGTTTTGACCGCACTTGCGCGCCGCTGCCCTCCCATCTTGAGCGCTACCAAACTTCTCCTCCCCCCAAATCCTTTCCCGCGCTGCAACCTTGTATCTCTAGTCCAACACCCCCCCCAGCTTTCCCCTTGTCCATCCTCAAGTCGTGGTGGGCAGTAATGCAGGTGCACCGCAAGCCATTGTGACTGCTAACCCAACGGTCTCCCTCTAGACACGGGTTGCTATCACCACCGTATTGACGTTACGCCAGCTGCATCTGGCCACCCGCAATAGTTGCCCAAGCCCCTGTCTCCAACATTCCCTTTTAGCATGGTGCCATACTGTCTTACTTTCCTCAGCAGTAAGCGGGCTAGATCTACAACTTACACTTGGCTTGTCCCGCCTTGTTTAGGAAACATCGATACACCCTGAGCTCAACCTTGCCGACGAGGTATTAATGCACTCGCGTATAGTTGTCTCAAAACAGATGTCACTGAAAGAGAACGGAACATGGGCCACCCACACTACACTCTGTATAAGGGGTCTGCCCCGAGTTGGTGGCTGTCCATTACCCATCCCTTCCTGGATAGATTGCAGGCGGGGGACTTGGACACCAGCCGCTCCCCCATCATCCTTGACGGAGAGCTTGGACTACCGCATCTCTGGGATCCACCACACCAACTCCTCACCCGCACACCTTAGCATATCATCTTTGAGAACACCACGATCGGGGATATCGGATGGGCCCCTAGTGGCTGTCGGCACCCTGACCCCTCAAACTGTCCCTCGACTGTCACACTTGTCTACACACACACACATGTTTACTGATATACATATAAGGCTGATCGGTGGAGTCTTAGGCACTGGAAAAAAGGTCGCCTTTGCTCTTCATCGGTGGCTTCGCTCGTCACTTTATCCATGTTCCCTGCACTAGCGTACCTTCTTGAGCACATTGCATGCACGGCATAACTGTTGAACTCTGTCGGCGCTTCGCCAGACTCCTCACTGTTTCGACTAGTCTCCCACTCCACAGTCAGAGCATCTCGACCTCCACTATGGCGTCTAGACCATCTCCAGCCGCCGCTGACGTACCCCTAAAAGAGTTCTTTCTTGTGCTCAATAAGCAAACGTTAGCCATTTCTCATTCGGGAAGTTTTGCCGTATCGTACCATGGGACGCCAGAAACAAGTGGTTCTGTATACACTTGTCTCGCAGACTGAACTACTGGGAGAAATGCTAGCTAAGTCTTCAAAGCTATATCTCCAAGATATGGTTGTCTCCACCTCCTGATAGTATCGTCCATGCGGTTTATATTCCATCTTGGGATTTCAGCGCCGACATGGCATCCGCGAACGAGCGACGATCCCTGTGATGACTTTCTTGACATATCCCTTTACGAAAACGCTCATCATAAACCATATATTGCCCCCACGGAGATGCAGACCTTCGGCCTCACTTTGATTTCCTTTTTTAGCTTAAGATGCTACAGTAGCATTTGTTGTTTCACGCCGATCTCATGTTTCCCACTCATCCCCCACTAATGTTTTATCGTACGTACTCATTCCCGGTCTACCTAGGCCCAGAATCGTTTGCGGGGTTAAGGGTTTTGTGCATCAATACTGCTTTTTTTTTCACAAGCCCGTGCATGGCCTACAGAAATTCAAGTCCCAGGAGATGAGACAGTGTGTACTGCGAAACGCGGCTACGCCGAAATCCAGGCCCTGTGGAAATTCCTAAATTTTGTTCATGTAAACTTGGTATATCCATGGGGCCCAGTAGTGTAGATTACGGAGGTATTCTTTCCGATGGTGCACTTTTGGTCTTGGCTGACAGGGAAGATGTGGTATGCGTATTACTTGAAGTGCGAGAGAAAACTGGGTCACTATACGCGGACCTGGTGTCAATCCTCAGATCACTTCGGGCCGAACCACATGCAAGTATGTAATATAGGAGTGCTCAAACCTTCTCACCATGTCTATTGATGGCTCGTTGGATTGCTGCGAAATCACTACTTGCTGACTGCTATGTTTTTGTTAGAGTTCCATATGTCCATAGATAAAAAGACATTCGGTTCTTTTGTGCAGTGATGTATATCAAGTGTGATTGGTGCAGGGCATCTCAAGATGTAGTGTCAAGAAGAGTAACAAGCTGTCAAAAAATGCTTTGACCTGTAGGCTGTCACCCATATTGTAGCACCTGACGAAGGCTGTTATACCGAGGCATACCACAGTGCAGTTGGCAGCGTTGAAGGTAACTATATGAGTTTTCTGTGCAGATGACAGTTCGTTGTCTGGAATATCTTGCTGAGTTGATAAGAGACAACTGGTAAATGCTGAGTTGTCAGCCTCGTCATATCGGAACCGCCTCAAACTGGATTCAGGGATGCACGTGACACCAACCCTATCAGCTGTAAATGCTACTTCTTATCTTTCACGTAGGACATACGTCGATTGTTGCTATCTTAAAAGTGACGTCGTACATATAATATGACATGCGCCAATTTTCGAATCTATAAGTGTACATAGTCACGTGCAGCAATACGGAGCGTCGGGGCTCTTGAACCGCCTACTAGTCGGCTAAAAGAAGAGACCGGCAGTTGCGATTATGACATTACGATACAACTGCCGACATTTCCAAGGTCCACAATCTCTCCTTATCCTTCGCACAAGGTTTAGCTGTTGAGACAACCAACGTCGGCAGTTCTGGAATAGCACAGAGCGCGTGCAGCATGACCGTGCCGGTGTGAGCCAAATTCCGATAATGGTGAGAGAATATGTTAAGATTCTGACAATGCGCGGCGTTTTGTGTATGCGTTGCCCGCTAGATGCACCGCGGAAAGAGTGAGCGCGCTGAAATGACTAGATGTTCATGTAAAAAACAACGTAAATTAAAGTCCGGTTTTGTAGACGCATTTTAGTATTGATAAATGTTTACTACTACCCCGCGAAAACCCTGGGATTCTTCCTTCCCCGCGCTATCGATTCTTCTCAGCCGTTCCATTGTAGCCACCGATCCACTTCCGCCGTCTCACGTCAAACATGTCAACTGCCGACGCAAACCACTGCGCACAAGCACCTGAACGCGTAACTTAGACCAGACCGGTGGCATCCGAGTGCCTTGTATCAGGAAATGACGGCACAGATCCGATTGCAAGCTGCCGGTTGCATATTCAAGCATGTATACCGATAATCATATATAAAGGGCTCTGCCTATCTTGTTCCGGACATCGTGAATACCTGGACCCTGGATCGACAGCACCTATCACCGCTGACACTGGGTTACACAAGATGATTGTCAACGAGATCCTTCCGCTGCTCGTGCGATATTGGCCGCTCGTGCTGGCTACGACTACGCTTGCGTTTTTACTCAATAACAAGTACTGGAAAGGACTAAACAAATATCCTGGACCTCGACTTGCTGCATATACCAACTGGTGGAGGGTACTGGACGTATACACGCGGAACCACCACTGGAAAATTATTGCACTGCATCGCAAACATGGAGATATTGTACGGATAGGACCCAATGTATTGTCTTTTGCGGACCCCAAGGCGATCAAGGTCATATATGGGTTGAATAAGGGATTCACAAAGGTACGAATACAACAAAAGAGTTTACCGAGCGTTGCCTAATCGTTCTCAGTCTGAGTTCTATCCCGTTCAACGCGCAGTGGCCAAGGGCAAATCTCTACCATCTCTCTTTAGTACTACCGACGAAGACTTCCACGCAAAATACCGCCGATGCGTAAACAATGCTTTCGCCATGAGTTCGCTTGTCAGCTATGAGCCTCTCGTAAGCTCGACGCTTACATACTTCCTCGACAGGACGGAACAGCTGTTCGCCAATCCTGGTGCCACCTGCAACTTCAGTCAATGGCTCCAGTACTTTGCCTTTGACGTCATCGGTGAGTTGACATGGAGCAAGCGTCTTGGATTCGTCGAGGGCAACAAAGATGTGGACGGCATTATTGGCTTCTTGGGTCAATTTTTGGACTACGTCGCACCGGTAAGTTGCTCGTGTAGGGACCTCCATGTACATCGTTGTACTTACATTCCTTAGATTGGTCAAATGCCCATCCTAGATCGTTTTCTCTGGAGAAACCCAATCCTGCTCTTTGCTCAGCGCATCGGTCTGGACAAGCGCGTCCATCCAGTAACGCTTTTTGCCCTGAAGCGCTCCAGTGAGCGTGCCAACCAGGTAGAGAAAATCAAGCGCTTCGGTCTCTCAGACGATGAGAGGGCAAACCCCCACGGTATCGATCTCCTCTCTAAGTTCGCGCAAGCTAGTCATGACCACGAGTTCATGGACGACAACCGTATCCTCTCCACATGCACATCCATGATCTTTGCCGGCTCGGAAACTACCGCCCTTTCCCTCTCTTCCGTCTTCTACTTCCTCATCAAGAACCCCCATGCCTACGCCAAGCTGATGCGAGAACTCGACACCGCCGTTGC